TGTCTATCTCTTTAATTTTCTCGTTTACCTGCTCCACTTTTTTCTCTGTTTCGTTCAGCTGAAGCTGCTGTGCTGCAAAGTTTTTATTCATCACGGTCAGTTGCTGGTTAATACCATCGAGTTGTTCCATCACCGGCTTGAGCATATCCGCCAGAAGTCTGAGGACATCTGCTCCCTCTTCCGGTTTCGGACTCTGACTGCCCGGCTTCGTTTTAAACTTTCTCTGCTGGGCCGCCATCTTTCCCGTATTTGTTTACAGTTTCTGCCGCTTCCGCGCAACTCGGAAAACTCGTCAAACACTTCACAATTCAGATAAGTCTCTCAACCCACTTTCGGTTTACTTCCTCCCTTCTCCCCCTTTGTGTCCATTAGCCGCTCATTCGCATAAGAGGCGTCCCTCTTGAAGTCTCTTGTTTCAACAGCGGGGGGGGGATCGCTTTGCAAATTACTCAGTTTTATTCAGAACTCACGTTCATTGTCGGTCAGTTTCTCTGACCGCGCTCGGTTTTATGCCATTCCGCTCGATCTCCGGCGCTTGTCCCGGTCAGTCCAGCTTGTGCCCGAAGACCACTCAGCGACTGGACCGTCGGGGCGGAGGGAAGCCTCAATTCTCTGGCATTATGCCATCGAAGAGGCTACCCCTCAAAAGCCCCCTGGCCTGGAGCCTATCACAAAGGCTCTGCGGGGGTGTCACTTGAGGTGGCACTCCTCCAGGCCGCTGGTGTGCGAATCGCCCTTCCCTGTTATGGGGAGACCGTCCGCCATCGCTGTTCTATAGACCGGAAGTCTCTTCTATCTTTTATCCATCACTGAATGCAAATATACAAAATCACACTTACGCCTGGAATTGTTCCTCATTACTCTATACGTAGCAAGCTCCAACGGGCAAGACTGAAACGAATCGATAAATAAATAAACAATCTTTCAATTTATTGATCGCTCAATCCTTGCAGAGCTGCTGGCTCTGAGCGATTTACAGTTACTCATTTCACAAGGGACTAACAATGCTTTATAGGGGTAAGGAAGGACAACACATATAATCTTTACATAGCACACGTTTTGCAGCCGACGGGGATTTGTTCAGTTGCAACTCAGATGTGATCCCGACGGCATTTTTCCCACTCGGCTTGGCTGGATGACGTCAGCTCTTCCTCTCCAGGACTCTTCGGGTCACGGCTCCATACTGCCACCACCTGGCCGGAACGGCCCATTACAGGCTTCTTGATGCCGAAGAGATCTTCGATCTTGCGAGCCGAACCTTCCGTTCGCTGGCTAACATCTCCCCCACGGGGAGGGGGTGGTGGTTGAGAACTTCCTGAGAACTTCGTCCACAATCATCACGACTGTATATGGACCTCTTTTGCACTTTTTTAACATTTATATGGCTGCAAGAATTATCGTTATAATTATTCCATCTGGAGTGTGTAGCGCTTTATTACAGCTTTCTTTCTTCTTGTTTTGGACTCCTGAGAGGGGCACCAAGGATTGTGCCTCTGAGCATGCGGCGAGGGAAGAAGGTCCATCCCACGCAGGTGTGGAATGGGGAAGCAGCGCTGGGTGAGGAGGGAGATGCAGCTGCCGGGGGGGGCACTCCCCACCCCAAAGACTCTCACCTCCAGGCTGGCACGGCCCACCTCTGCCAGCAGGTGCAGCAGGGACACCGGGTTGGCGTAGTGCAGCTCGAACCGGAGGCGGGTCAAGATCCTGCGCTCCATGCAGAAGAGCTCCTTCGGGGTGACCGTGTCCTCCGTCATGAGGCACAGCTGGCTGGGCTGGAGGGGCGAAGGGGGCAGGGCCAGGCATGAGGAGGGGCCTTGACAGAGAGAGACCCTCTGGCCTAGCGACTTCTTTAGAGAAGAGAAGAGATTGGATTTCTACCCTCCACCGTTCACTACCCAATGGAGTCTCAGAGCGGCTTACAATCTCCTTCCCCTCCCCCTCCCCACAACAGACACCCAGTGAGGTAGGTGGGGCTGAGAGAGCTCTTTCAAGGAATGCTCTTGAGAGAACAGCTCTGAGAGAACTTGTGACTGACCCAAGGTCACACCAGCCGCTGCATGTGGAGGAAGCGGAGAGGAGAATCAAACACTGTTCTCCCAGATTTAGAGTCCACAGTCCTAACCACTACACCAAACTGGGTCTCAGACGCAAAAGAGTCCACGCCAATGCTCCCTCTAAGCTGTGGGACCTTGTGAACAAAAATTCTACTTTGTGAGCTGCTGACATTAAAGTCTTGAGCAAGCGATCTGGCTACTGCACAAATTAGTTTACTCTGGAGCCCTCCTTCCTGAGCTAAGACAAAAATGTGTGAGCCGGAGGCTAAAAAAACTGTGAGCCAGCTCACACTGACTCAGCTTTGAGTTCCACGCTCTCAAACCACCACACCAGACTGGCTGAGCGGCCACAGAAGAGTAGGTATCTGAACCTGGGCCTCGAAGATCCTAGTCCAGCGCTCTAACCACTACACCACAGGGAGCCAAACTCAGGCTGGGACTTCGTGGAAGACGGCGTCAGCCCCCACACCTCTCCCCTACTGGCTCCTGGGCCCCCCACAGCAAAAGCAAGACAGGGAAGCGGGGGGGGGGGTGTCACCCCCCAGTCCCTCCACCCGAAGCCAAGGAGGCTGCCTGGACTCTTACCTGGGGGCAGGTGCTCTCCTCGACCTTGCAGGCCAGGAAGAGGCAGGCGACGCTCAGGAGCTGGAGCGCGGCCACCCGCACCTTGCTCATCTTCAGGTAGGCGTTCATGAGGTACACGGCCAAGTAGAGCGTGTCGTCGGCCAGCTTCAGGTACTCCTGAGGAGTGGGGAGGGTGAGGAGGAAGCCGGCTGGCCGGCCACTCTCTTGGGGCGGGAGGGAACCCCTGATGTGGGGAGGAGGAGGAGGAGGTGTCCAGGGGCCCCCCCCCCACTGCTCTCCTTTGGAGGCACCAAGAAGCTTTGATGGGCTTTGAACAGGAGAATGGAGGTCTGATGGGAGCTCAGTCCGTCCACCTGGGGGTCTGCATGCTCTCCCACCAGGAGCACAGAGTCATAGAGTTGGACGGGACCTCCAGGGTCATCTAGTCCAACCCCCTGCACCATGCGGGACATTCACAAATACCTCTCCCCTCTACACCCGCAGTGACCGCTGTTCCACGCCCGGAACCTTTGGGGGCTGGCGGAGGCTGGGGGTGGGCCTCCAGGGTTTGCACAGTGCCCCCCCTCCCCCACAGTCTGCCCTCAATCCCCCCCCGCCACCCAGGGGAGCAGGTCCTCCAAGGAGGGATTCTCTAGCAGCAACTGGCCCCAGCCACCCCCCAGATCTGTGTGTGGGCGGGAGGGAGGGAAGGGGGGGCACCTACATGCACCTGCACCAGCCAGTCGACAACGAGCGCCCGCCTCTCGGCAGTCACGGCACGGGGCATGTCCGATGCTCGGAAGGTGTACCGAGGCTGCTCCTGTGGGGGAGGAGAAAGGGGAGGTCTGCCTCCCTGCCCAGAGCCAGGAGGGCGGGGTTTTTTGGGGGGAGGACAGCTCGGGTCTCATTTGGGGGGGCAGGGGGGAGCAATGCCCCCCGGCTCACCATCAGGCTCTGGAAGATGTCCCCGGCGTACTCCTGCTCCACCCCCATGTCCATCCGCCGCATGGCTTGGGAGAGCTCCTGGCCCAGGGACGCAGAGAGGGGGACCCCTGAAGGGGCGGGAGAGAAGAGGGCGGCGGGTCGGTGGGTGGGTCGGCCACTCTCGCGGCTCCGCTCCTCCGCTTTCCGTGACGGAGGCCCAGCAGGACGGGCTGCAGCACCGAGCTACGGAGAAGGGGGCCCCCCGCGTCTCCCGGATGGGTAACGTGACCCAAGGCTCCCTCTAAGCGGCGGAGTCTTTCTTGTGAGCAAAGATTCCGCTTTGTGAGCTGCTGCTGCTGGCATTAAAGGGGTGAGCGCGAGCGGTTGGGCTGCTGCATCCATTAGTCTGCTCTGGAGCCCCATCCTGCCAGAGCGGAGACAAGAAGGCGAGAGCCGGAGGCTAAAGAACCGTGAGCTGGCTCACACTCACTCAGCTTAGAGGGAACCCTGGTAACGTCCCCGTGACCCCGGGAGAGACGGAACTGCAGCTCTCCCCCAGAAGGCCCGGGTGGCCCAGGAGCCTCTTGCCTTCCTTCCCCCCCCCCCACCCCCGCCCCCTACCTCTCTGCGGAGGAGCCTCGGCGGCAGCAGCGTCCCCGGGGCAGGCAGCTCCCGGCTTCTCCTCCGGCGCTCCGTCCCCTCCCTGGCTCCCCCGGCCCTTCTAGGAGAAGAAAGACCGGCATTGGCAGCAAAGCCCGGGCACAGATGTGGCAGCACCTCTCAGCAGAGGGTCCACGTGGCTCCCGCCAGAGCTGGACAAAGCGATCATCCTGGGTGGGGGTGGTGGTGGTGGGGACAGAGCCCCACGCAGCCGCAGAAGCAGGGCCCGGGAGCCCTGGTGGGCCCACAGAACCCCAAAGCCAAGGAGGGCTGGCTCAGGCAAGCGAGCGGATCGAGGGATGGGCCTGACTGCACGGAGGAAAGGATGAGCTGCCCGAGGCAGGATTTCTCCAAGGCAATCCAACCCCCC